TACCACAAAAGAGTCTAAAATGCTAAAAGTATTTTAAAATATCTAGAAATAATCAAACAAGCTGCCTAAAGCTTCTCCACATAGTCACCGCTGCTTAAGACTAAATAAGGTCGATGTGTTTTGGATAACAGACAGCATAGAACTAAATATGAAAAAAAAATTTACATACTTCTCCTCCAATCATTCCAATAAACAAAAGATTCAACTGTTACGTCGAATTTAGGAAGAGATAAGCCAACTTAATAACATATTTTCTCCATAATAACATGTTTTCTCAGTAAGCTGATAAAAAGCTCTTCATTTATCCAACATGCATTACCAAGTCAAGTCTCCAAAATACAAATTTCACAATATAGTACAATACTAACTTTCAGTTTCATAGCATTAGCTACTCAATGGCACACCAGAATTTGAAAAGCCCTCAATTTGAGATACCATATCTCACACCTGTCCAACAGGAACCATACTGGAACTCCTCAATTGGATCCTAAATTCGAATTAAATTATTCCAAAAAAAAAAAAATTCAAGCAACCCCGATGAAGATCTTAAAGCAAAGTGATCTCAACCACTGAATAAATAAAGCAATAAAAAGAACTAAACTTTTAAGAAAAGCATAAAAAACTCATCAAAGACAATGCCCAAAACATCAAATTTTTTGAAAACCCCATTAACGAAAACACCACAAAATAAAATTTTAAAATATATATATATACTCGAATAAACTGAAACCCATAATTCAAAGCAGATCAAAGTTTAAAACTTTAAACCCAAAAAGTGAAAAAAAAATTTAAAAAAAAACTAACCTTTATTTTCAAGGGCCATCATGATCTTGTCTATAATTAAGATCCACCGGCAAGTACATCAGATCCTCCTCTTTTAGCCCTCACCTGTAAAACCAAATCCTACATAAATAAAAGAACCCAAAAAATACGAGAGATTTCAAATAAAATTCAAACTGAAAAAGAAAAAAAGAGAAAGAAAAGTGTAGAGAAGAGAATGAGACCTGGTGTGATGCTAGAGACAGCAAGAGAGAAGGACAAAAGAAGTTATGTATAATAAGAAGAAGAGAAGTCGTTTTCCCTTTCTTTTTCCCTTTTTTTTTTTTTCTAATATTTGTGCTTTTATTTATTTGATTAATAAAACAATATGATTTTTGGAACAATTCTTTTACATCCCAATAATTTTACAGTTTTGCAATAAGACTTTTTTTTAACTGAGAACAATTAAGTGAATTAACATTAATGTTTGAATTTAAATCATAATAGAATTATCAAGTCACTGGTGATTCAATGAATAATGTCAGCAATTGAACAACATATATAATTTTTATTAAAATATATTTATATACATATAATAAATATATGCAATTTTTTTAGAGCATAATACATAAATATATGACCAGACCAAAAATATATATGCAATTTAGATTAGAAATATATATATATATATATTTACCCAAATCTATATTTGAATGGTCTGTTGGTATTGGATCCTAATTTTTAAAAAAAATAAAATTAACATAATTTCAAATGTTAAAATTTGGAGATATACGTAAACTTAAATCTATTAAATTTCAATTGTTTACACAAAATAAATTCGACTAAATAACTGAATTTCACTTAATCAGAGTTAATAAATATCAATTAGTATTTCTTTAAAATAATATATTTTTTATGTTTTTATTTTTTATTTAATATTAATATAATTTAACTAATTAATGAGTTATTTACAAAAAAATAAATACCAACTTATTTAAGGACATTTATTAGTCTAAAATATAGATAATAACAAATTAAAATCTCAAAATATTTAAGTCCATAGAAGATTATATGCTGTTATTTTTTTTTTTTTAAATGTAACACCATAAGGACTTAAATGTAATTTTATCATTTTTTTGGGATAAAAATACAAAGAAGGGAAAAACTAAAGGGTCAAGTGTCTGACAGACGCAAAGAATTGAGGTAACGTGGGTCCCACGTAACCAAGTTAAACAAAATAATATCACGTTTTAAGTAAAACTACATGTCGTTTAAGGTTGAAAGGGACACGTGTTGAATTTGGGGTGGCTGGTGGAGGCCAGTGACTTAGTGGTGGACACTGCGTGGTTTAGATATTCTTTGGAAAAAAATCAGATTTGGAGGAATCTTGGCCGTTTATTTCGTTGATTTTCATCAATCATTGTTTTCATGTTTTTTAGGAGTTTTTTTGTTTGTATTTGCTAACCTAATAAAGATATTTTGAGCACAATAATTTTGTGAAGCTGCTATAGAAATTAGATTTAATATAGAGTTTAGTTTAATTAATGAATCATGTAGCTTTTTGCACGTTACTACGGTTTAATAATAATAATTAAAAACATTAAAATATATTTCTACATATTTGTTTCATTAATCTGTAAAATATTGAATTTTTTAAACATGAATGTGAAATCTATCATAAATAACCAAAAAAAAAAAAAAAGAACTGAAATGAATTGGAAATTTACAGCATAAATCAATAAATTTATTATCAGATTCTTTTAATATCTTCCAAACTTGTAAATTAGATCTTTTAATTGACGAATTTTACAAAAAGACGTTATAAATTAGTGAATATATTAATCAATAAAACATTAAAGTTTGAATAAAATGATAAAAAAAACACTTACAATTCGATGAATTTTTTTTAGAGAAACAAAATCTAAATGAAAATTGAAAAATAAAAAATGGGTATTTTTTTTTTCAAGGTTTGCTCATAAAAGCTTTTGAAAAATTAATAACATTAACTAGATTTACAAGAAAATGAATAGATAAGGAAGAGAAAGAGTTTCATCATTTTTTTAATTTAATGAATTAAACTTTTCACTTCCTACTTACGAATGGAGTAATTGTTATAATAGGATGAAAAAATCGAATAATTGTTGAAATGAAATATTTGTTGATTTAAACATGCTTTTATATAATTGTAGAGTTTTAATTTGTAAGTTGAAAGGTCAAATTAATTTATGAAATTATACAATCAAAAATTTTAAAATAATTTTTTTAAAATAAAAAAATAATTTATTTATGAAGTTATCACGTGCCATCCTTGAATAAAATTTTAGATTTAAATAGAATTATTTTAGATGTAGTTATTATTAAAATATAATATTTAATAATTTTGAGATTTAAATTTTTTCACTTAAAATATTTTTTTTATTCTTAAATTGTTATCTTTTTCATAAAAAATTTTAAATAAGAAACATAGTAATGTAATAAAGTAATAAATGACAAAAAATAATGTAATAAATTATATATATCTTTAATACTAAAAATTCTTCACAAACGAAAAAATTATTATATAAATCTCCTTTAACTATAGCATATTCAATTAAGATATTACAGTTATTAATTTGATTTAAAAAAAAAAAAAAACCAAGTATAAGAGACGTTGTAAATTAAAAGAGTAAAGATTTAATTTCTCCTATTTGTCTAATTTGAGGTTTTGTGTTATTATTATTATTATTATTTAAATGTATTCTAACGATAAATTTAAATTGCTTATAAAATGATGTAAGTTTGCTCAGCTCTCTACTCTGAAATAAGATAAAAAAAAATTTCATAAATTTATTGTTCAACAATAATTGATGGCCTTCACTTCATCGCGCAAATCATCAAATGTCAAAAAATTGATTAAAGAACTATAAAAAATTACTTGATTAATATTAATAATATTTATATATATATATATGAACAACAATAATCAAAACTAAGGAATAGTTAGGTACGTTTTTAATTTCTTTGTTTTATATTTTTTTTTTGAATATTTTATTTTATTTTATTTTGTTTTATTTGAAAAACAAAAAACTTGTTAGGTTAAATAATATTATTGTATGATTTCAAAAGCTGAAAACATTAAACATGTTTAGCAACTATAATAAATTGAAATATGATATTTTTTTATAAATAATAATTATATTTTAGTTTATATAATTTTATAAATAACTAGTAACCATTTCGCACTTCCTGTTGGGCAATATAAACAAGAAATAGGTTTTGTAAATTAAAGTATGCAGTCGTCACTAACTTGACTGAAGCTTTTTTTTTTTTTTTATAAATTGAACATGTTAAATATATACTAAAAAAATTGTCAACTACCAAAGTAACATGGGAACCGATCTTAAATATATTAAAATATTATGCTATATCATAATAAATAATATAATAATCAACTCTAAAAATAACATAAAAATTTGATCAGTTGCATGTCGTAATAAATCATATTTAAGATCAGTTGCGTTCTGCAAGTATAAATGATTAAATAAATAGCGTAGCAACTAATCTTAAATATATTAAAATATAATACGTGGAAAATTTTTTCTTTTTGTTAAATTTTAGTCATCTTAAGATCTGCCCTCTTTTCTCTTATGCTTAGTGCATCACTCCCAAGTATCTTATGGGCTTTTAACTCGGTCTTTTTCCTTTTCTGTTTGACTGAAGCTTCGTGATACCAGCCTTCAACAATTGTAACTTTTTAGAAAGCTTGCACAAACATACTCCAATTATTTCTTTCGTTAGCCTTTAAGATGACATTTAATGCAGCCTTTCAAAATTCAACACTCCATCTATCGCAAGCCACGTCATCTTATTTTTTCAAGCTGTAAAACGAAACATGCTGTTGCAAGCTGCATGACTTAGTAATTATATATACTATAAAGAAGTCCGCATTTCGTTCCGAAAGTAAAATAAAATTATATAATATTAATTTAAACATTGAATAATTAATTAAAGAAAAATAATTATTTTCAATGACGATGAGATATCAATGTTAGTATATTTAGGAGAGAAGAATCAATGAAGACAGACCTTTTTATAAGGCCATCTTCTTCCGGTGCCACCGGTTTTCAGCCATATGTTATGCATTAAAATTTCAAAAAATTCCAATATTATAGTTGCCTCCTTTCGAGGAAGATGAAAATAATTTGATAACTCGTTGAATGTCATCTCCTTTGCTCTCCTTCTCCGCATTATTGCACCCCCAATAAGAAAAAAATAACAAAGTTAGAGGCTAGAATAGAAACATTAAGAGTAGCAACCAGGTTCAATGAAATGCAATCGTTTTTAAGTTCAATTAATCTTGCCCAGAGCTCTAATTGAAATAGGAAACCCAATGGGAAAATTCTAGCTTCCTTTAATAAGGCTAATGACAATAGCTACAACCTGCTCTAGCAGGCAGCATGGAGACTTTGCTTTGTTATTGCCGTTTGCAGATTTAAGAAAAGGCAATTGATACAATCTGTGCCGCTAGGGATAGAGGAAGCTTCTCTTAGTTATTACTGTTGTTTACAATTTCCTCCATTTGAATGTCCCTTGCAAAAATTTAGACAAATTCCATCATACCGTTACTATGTGATAAACCAGCGATATGAAAAAAGGGAAAATCAACCCTGCTTTTTCTTTTGTACAAGTCATTGTATTTAGCAAATGATTTGGCTCAAAATTAAGTCTGCAATGAGAAAACAGGGTGTCAAAAACTACTCCAAAATTCACATGTTCATTGTTAGAAAATACCTGGATCTGGTGCCAATGTTTTCTCCATGTAGTCACCTTCAGACAGATTTGCATCCCCATCAAGCCCTACCCATAGGGCTTCATAGAAAGTTGAGCATAGATCCTTAATCACCATATATCCCTCTTGTTTCCTCTTGATGCAATATTGAGTCAGAAACTGCTTCACCCCCTCATCGTATTTTTTGTAGAAACTATTGAAAGAAAATCAATGTGAGTTTTGTAACTTATCAATTAACAATTTGATAAGGATTGGGTCTTTTATCCCTTGAAATTGCACAATAAACAAATTAAAGTTGCAATTAAAGCTTCTTTTGTCATAAATAAGTGTAAATAAAGGAGAAGCACTATACCTTACTTTGAAATGAGTGACGGTCACAGAAGTCAAACTGATGAACATATCTTGGTCCTATCTGCAGAGCAAACTAATAAGGTTTTGCTCAAAAGTGAACACAATAGTCAAACCAAAGTCCAACTCCATTTTCTCATAAAGTAGAAGCAACAATGGAGTTTCATGATAAGATGGAGCAGTATCAAAGAAAGTTTAAACCAGACATTATCCATGGTATAAACATGAACCAAAAAAAAAAAAAGGGAAACAGCATTGACAGTCGTTTGACACATTCCTAGACACTGGACTCAATCAGCAAAAAGGGTAGAATGCAAGCCTAAATCCTTGCAGTAAATTAAAACAGCTTTGGGAAATGTAACAACTAAGGGCTATTCTTTAGTCTAGTCTAGGAATGAAATGAAGCATCTAAACAAACAATTGATCCTCTGTTATGCAAATTAACACAATACAATCTGATACTTTGAATTTAGTTATTCAATCAAATGAATTTAATCATTCAATCAAATCTGACATTTGCATTAAGAATTCAAAAAAATCATTGTTTTGATTTAATTCAAGCTCTTAATGACCTAAATTTCCAATCACTTTAAATATACATGGAGAAATATCATATTGCCACATCTATGTATTATGTCTCCTAGGCCCAAAGATCATTCAGTTCGAACCATATTACCCCATAATATCCATTTCTAAGAGTTAAAGTAGTTTCCATCACAAGCAAGTTTCTACTGTTTTTGTTCTACAGTACTACTAGTTTTGCTGATTCTAAATTTGAAACATGCAATCATGTATAGTTTTTCCTTTTGATCCTACAATACAGTCATCACATAAGTTTCCATAAGGTTAGTTCAACTAGACATAGTCTATGCTGACTACCATATCATAAACTAAACACACAAAGCAAGAGACAACACAAATGCTATAAAAACCTAAGAAGACTTTTATACTGTGTCCAAATTCCAATTTTTCCTCCAGTACGTGCACGAGAGGGAAAGAAGAATTTAACTCCTATATTTTTTGGATAATTGAAATAAATCTATCCCAATCAATCAACACTACAAATAAATATGATGAAACATATATAGCAGTTAACATAATCAAACACCAAAATCTTCCTCTCAAAAGCAGCTTTCAAGCCACTTCACTCAACAACTCCACAATTTAAACTATCATCAGATCATACAATTAAGTAGCCTCAATGGTGCGGTACGACAAAGAAAATAACATACGTATCCTAGCAATTTGGGGGTCTTCCGATTGAATCTCATTGGCCGCCTGAAGGATGTCGTCGATATTAGTCGCGCAACCAAATGAGGGTGGAAGTGGGACTGCACCTACGATTCTGGCTTTGACCAGCAATTCTAAGCTGCACTCTGTCCGAGGTAGCTCGCACCAGCCTCTCCCAGTTTCTATAAACCCTAGCCATAGAATTTCAAGATCTTCCAAACCAATAGAGAAATTCAAATTATAAAAACCCTGGGTTTTTACAAAGAAGAGTAGAGAATTAAGAACGAAAACCGAAAAAGGAGAAGAAAGAAACGAAGAGCCAACTATCAAACACTTCCACAAGAAATTAAAAGAGGTTTAAAGGGACAGAAGAGAAACAGGGAGAAATTGAAATTCGAACCTTTAGAGGCAGCATGAAGGAGAGGCAAATGATTTATCCAGACATATTCTCGCTACCTTCTTCTCTTTCTCTTTCTCCTTCCCCTTTCTCTCTTTTCAATTTTTTTCAGATTGTATGGTTCAGAAGCTTTGGATTGTAAAGTGTTTCTTCTTTTCTCCCTAAAGTCCTGAAGCTTCTTCTCTCACAGAGTCTCCATAAGCTTCCTTTTTTTTTTTTACCTAAATACCTTAAATTTTTCTAAGACATAGCTTAGCTGTTCACCAAATTGCAGGATGAAAAAATTTGGAACAACTTTTATATATTTTATATGTTATATTATAATATATACACACATTCGATAAAATTTTTTATATAAATGTTTGTGTAAATAATTTATTTTGAATGACACGTAAAATAAATTTTTTAATTATAGATTAAATAATTTTAAATTTTTTAAAATAGTAAAATTATTTAAATTATGATTGAAAATTAAATCAATTTATATATATGTTTTTTAAAATTAAAAATCTAAAATATAGATTTTATCTTCATAATAAATAATTTTAATTGTTTATCAAATAATATTATTTAAAATTTATTTAATTATCAAAATCTTTTAACATGTTTAAAAATTACTTATTATTTTTAATCTTAATAATTTTTAAACATGTTAAAAAGTTTTGATAATTAAATAAAAAGATTATTTTTAATCTTACCTCTGTAAGTCTGTGACAATGTTACTTTGAGAACAGGGTGTTTTAGAGTTTATAAGATTTTTTATATTGAATTTGGAGCAAAGCCTACTTATAAAGCTAGCTTGATGCTAGAATTACACCATACAACAAAAAAGAAAAGAGATTACTTAAATAGTTGGTTGCAAATTTTACTGAAAAGGTGGGGAGACATGGCTTACTATATGCTCTAGTGTTAAAAGGAACGATAGATGTGGTTCCACTAGCATTCCCCTCTTCCTTTGATTGAAAGCTTTGATTTTTCAAGCATTACAACTTTTTTTGGGTTTGCTGTATGGGTTTCGAGCCAAAGTGCGAACTTTTATTTTTCAATCTATTATAAAATTTTTTGCAATTCATTTTCTTTTACTTTTTTCTCTAAACATCCCACTTTCTCTCTAAAAAATTCTCTTAAATAAACCATAACCGTTGGCTATTCAAATTATCTAGTTTCCGGCGATAGTTACAATCATCGTTGTCGTTCTTCGTCGTTGACTGTCGCTTGTCGGTGCAGAAAATAATCCAAATTCACTTATCGAACCCTTTTGCCCTCTCTACACCATTGTCAACTTAATTTTTCCAAAAAATCTCTTATTTGTCCTAGATCTAAGAATAAAACATGTGCCTAACCACCCTTATTTCTACCATTTTTTGCCATCCAAATTGCCTGAATTTCTACCGTGTTAATCCTCTCTTCATGGCCTTCTTTTCCTTTACTTTCCTGGAAAGCTCACTAGTTTCATGAGCTACCATATGCCAACCCCACTTGTCGGCAGTCATTTCTTTGTTTTTCAATTTTCTTCTTGTCATATAGTTCTAAAACAAAAAACTTCCCAATTAATAAAAATTTTTGTTATATTACTTTTATTAAATTTACTCTTTTTTATGGCTTCTATAATAAAAAATAAGAATGGAGAGACTTATTTAGATGCAATAATAATATAAGAGTTTTATTAAATTTTTTTAAAATTTAGAAATTAAGGTAGTGTATGATTTTAGAAAAACATTTTCCATTTTTAATTTTTTGAAAAATAAAAAATAAAAATAAAAATTTTTTGAATAGTTTTAGAAGTTATTAATTAATAAATATCTAACATACATATATTTTCATCTCTTGTTACCTAAAATTGTGACATGTGGACTGTCGCATATGTAACATTCATTTGTCATGTAAAATTATTAAATTGTTATATATTTATTTTAAGTTATCAAGTCATTCATCCTTAATTGTCCATGTTTTATGTCTTTCATCTCTTAGAGTTTAGAGCTAAGAATGCTTCGTCTTTCATTCTTGATCCATTATCTCTTTAGTACCTATATTTTTCTTGCATTTATCTCAAAAAAATTATTTTATTTTCTTATTCAAGAGATAATGATTTTTTTTTACAACTTGTGAGAAAATGAATTTGCACTATTAAAATTCTTCATGTAAGTAATCGATTATTTCTCTTACTCATTATTTTTTATTTATTACTTTCAATTTTCATTCTAAAAAAAAATTCATTCATCTAACGTTTTATTAAAGTATAAATATTTTTTCACTTAATTTTTTTTAAAAATTTCGTCTTTATATTGAAAAGTTTAGTGAGTACATTTATCTATAAAAGTGATAAATTAAATGGATATTGATTACCAAATTTCTAGGTTATAACTTTTTATCTTTTTCTTCTCCTAAATTCTTCCCCGTTTCTTACATTTGTTTTTTTTTTTAATTTCTCCCTTTTTATTGAAATTTGGAAACAGAACAATCTTTCCCTGATTCAAAGAATCCACTTGAAAAAAAAAAATCCATTGTCTAATAAGAAATCATCAAATTTAGATGTTGTTTAATAATTATTTTATCGCTTATCTTCATTCAAACTATTTGCAATCTCTTTTACAATGCAAAGTTTTTTTTTTTCTCAATGTAAAAATTGTATTTTTATTATATTATTATCATTGCATTATAGTTTTGATTTAATAGTAAAGATTTTAATGAGAAAACATGAAATAAATCAAAATAATTATTTAGTAACTTTATATTTTTTTAATTTTTTAATATGAAATGAGTAAGGAATTTTATTTGAAATTGTGGGTTAATTCATAATTTAACTAAGATTCATTTACCTTTTTATTTCTACCTATCATGACTTTTTCACTTTTAAAATCTATAAGCTATTTTAAATGTGTCAAAGAATGTTCATATATTATTTTACTTTTTGAAATATATATTTTACTGTTGTAATATATATTAAATAATAAAATAATAAACTGCAACAATGCACGGTTTGTTATCTTGTATATTATATATTTATAATTAGATGCCATTAATAATAATTATTTTCACAATTGCTTTTATCTTTTTTATTTTTAGAAAAACATTTTTTTTTCATCCACAAAAATACATTTTCTACAAAACAAAAAATAGAAAACAAAAACTATTTTCCAAAAATTAAAAGAATCATTTTCTCAAACCTGATAGAGTTCAAATAAGTAGAATCTAAAGTTTACCTTAGTTAATATAGTTATTGTTAAAAAATAATATCTTATAAATTTTGGATTCGAATATTATAATTTGAAATAATTTTCCTACCTTTAAACTGTGACATTTTTCACCAAAAAATTTTGAAATGAGCAACAAAGCAACGTAATAAAGTAATAAATAAAAAATAATAATATGATAAATTATATATACATGAGTGCTGCTATTTGTATCCTGTTATTCTTCTCAATACACCCAAAAAATTCAATTTCTAATAAAATTACTTAAATATCCATTTACCTTTTTATCTTTCACATTCTATTTCAAAAATTCATTTTTCAAAAATTTTTAAAGGTTTTTGGAAATTGATGTTCTAAAATTTTTAAAAAGTTTTTGAATATTCATTTTTGAAAACCTTTAAAAACTTTCAAAAATCTATAGTTGAAAGTTTCGAATCACACTCAAACAATTTAACATAAATTCTTACGAAATTAAATACGAAATCAAACAATAAAATAAAAAGAATAAATAATTTACTTTTGATTTTATGCTTTTTTAACTTTAAATAGGTAAATTTTTTTTAAAATTTGACTTGATTGGAGCTTAAAATCTTCGAAATTTTAGTTGGAAAAAGAAAAGAGATGAGGTATGAAGAGATAAGATGTATGAATTTTTGATAAATTTGTGTTTTGAGTTTGGGGTGTGTTAAGTAAAACATTGGATATTATTAGTAGTAGAGTATGAAGAAAAGAAATTAGAGTGCAAATAGCACCGGCATATGTATATATATATATATATATATATATATATGTGTGTGTGTGTGTGTGTGTGAGTGTCTCTAATACTAAAAAATTCTCACAAAAGAAAATTGATTATATAGGTCCCTTTCAAATATAAGCTAATTAATTAAAATATCACATTTATTGATGTGATATTCATAAAAACCAAGTATAAAAGATTTTGTAGACTAAAAAGCAAGTGGTTATAGAAAATATTTTTTATCTTCATTTTTTTTTTAAAACGATTTTCATTTTCTATTATTTGAAATTAAAAAAACACATTTGGCATATAAATATGAAAAGTTATTTTAAAAAATGACAATTATGAAAATGTGTTTAGAACCTAGAAATTCCTAAAGAACTCAAGTAGAATATCATTCCTAATAAAATCAAGTTCAACATCCTCTATGCTCACACATTACTTCACCACCTTAAATACAATTTTCTTCATTTTCTTCATTAGAGGACTGAAACTGACGGATAAGGATAAGCATAATTTCCTTTGTACAGTAACTAGCATAAATTGCATCCATTATAGGAAAGATAAAACCAATTATCTTAAAAAATGCAACCAATTATTTTATATTACCAACTTTTATATTAAATAAAATTTCGTATCACTAACTTTTTTATTAAATAAACATACAATTAACCAATTAATTTTCACTAAATCAAGCAAAGCATGAAATATCTTTTACTCAATTAGCTAAAGTAAAATGATTCCACCACAACCTTCAAAACCCTTTTGATCTTTTTGCTCTGTGAATGGTGAGAGATTAGAGAATTAGCGGTGGCTTTGGATGGAGTGAATCTTTCGCTGAAGTTTTTTTGTAAAATCTTATATAACTAATGTTTTTTATTGATCAATTTAATAATATTTTTAATTAGACTTTTTTATTGAAAGTTTTTGTTACAAATATGCTCATGTTTCTTGTAATAAAGGGATAACAAATGATTGTTTATCAATTGTTAAGATAATATGAGTGATAAATATATAAAATGAAACATAATTTTGTATAAATTTATTTTTTAATGATATATCTTCATGCATATTAAAAAAACATAATATTTTTTATTGAAGCAGTAGGTCTAGTATGCCAATAAATTAGCATGATCGATGATGATAGCTGACTAGAATTAACCCAAAAGAAAGTTAAATCGATTTTGGTTGTTAGTGAAGCTACTACAGAAAAAACACGAAAATACAAGTTATAAGTTTGACCTATTCATGATAAACACCAAATTAAATAAAAATAAAAAGGAATGCTTTTTTGTATAATTGAACGTGGGTCTTTGTAAGGGGGTGTAATCGAGTCGAGTTGAGTCGATACAATAAGAAATTTGAGTTCGAGCTCGAC